CTTGGCTGTTGCGTCTGGAAAACCCTAACGACAGCTAACACCCCCCCAACTTTTTGCAGATTCCCATGAAAACATCTGCAGTTACATCGCCAGAGAAAGCGAGTCGGTGGTTGTGTCCGTCGGGTGAGTTATGTCAGTGACACCCTATGGAAGTCGCCTTGCTTCTTTTCTCACCGCCACAGTGGTGCGTGTCTTGTGGGAACACTCAGTAAAACACTTCCCCAGGATCCCAGGTGGTCAAACAGGATTCCAAGGGGACTGTTTGCATTTCGTCCCCCCTGGCAGTCTGCTAATGCAGGGAGAGAGCAAACAGACCCCAAAGAAAGGACCAGATATCTCACACCACTGCACAGAAAGAAGGAACGCTTTCCACAAGAGTTTTCTTATGTGTTGAGAACTGACTGATAAACAAACTGGGAACGTGGTGATTCAGTGATCTGATTAATCAGGAATCACCCTGTAAACGTCAAGGAGTTTTCTGACAGTAAGAATTGACTATTAATATATTGTAATACTAATAATACAGAAAATAGAACTCTGATCCAGTTATTTAAGTAAACAAAAAGAAAATAGAATAAAATAACTCTGAAGAGGAAATATCCTAAGTAAAGTGAGGTGCTGACTGATTAAATTACTTCATCCACCAGCCAGATGCAGTCTACATCAGAAGAGTAAAATGAACTTGCATCATTCTGATCAATGATCTTGTATCAGTTCTGATTAGTGCTGTTCTGGAGAAGAAGATCCCAACTGTGCTACATCCTTGCAACTTCATCCTACTGGCTATCATTTATCTGTGATAACTTGCTGGACAAATAGCTTTTTAGCAGAGAATGACACCTTTTTTTTTTTTTGACTCAAGGAAAAGTACTCCAAACAACACAGGGAAAGCCAAGGTGCTGTAGGAAATTTGTATTTACTGTTATGACATTTCCTCCTTTTACTTTTGTTGTCTCTTTCTGTATTGCTGGTTGCAGGAACCAGCACTTTCAGCAACTCATTTAATACTAATATTACCTTCTCGCACTTTTGTTGTCTCCTTTTGTGTACTAGGTACCGTTTAGCCCCTGAACACAAATACCCTGCTGCGCACGAAGACTGTCTTAATGCCACCATACACTTCTTGAAGAATACAGAGCGCTATGGGGTGGATCCTGCCCGTATCATTGTCTGTGGGGACAGTGCTGGGGGCAATCTAGCAGCTGCTGTTAGCCAGACACTCGCAGAAAGATCAGACCTCCCCAAACTACGTGCTCAAATCTTGATCTACCCAGGCCTTCAGGCACTGGACTTCAATCTACCATCCTATCAGCAGAATCGGGCAGTCCCTCCCTTATTTCGAGAACGTGCCGCTTTCTTTGCTTTGCAGTACCTAAACGGGGATGCACTGCATATGCAAGAGGTTTTGGAGGGCTCTCATATCCCTCCAGATATGAAGCTGAAGTACAGCAAGTGGGTGAGCCCAGATCACATCCCGGAAAAATTTAAGGTCAGAGGCTACAAACCACACAACTCTCATGAATTCAAGGCTGAAGTTTTTGAGAAAGTTAAAAGGTTCTGTGAGCCCAACCTGTGCCCGCTGTTGGCCGAAGATGCCATTGTTCACCAGCTGCCCGAGTCTTTCATCCTGACCTGTGAGTACGATGTGCTGAGGGATGATGGTTTGCTTTACAAGAAGAGACTGGAGGACAACGGTGTTCGAGTGACCTGGTGCCACCTCGAAGATGGATTCCATGGAATCGTAGGTTTATTTGATTATTGTGGTTTATCATTTCCAGCTGGGAAAAGAGGATTGGACAGAATTGTTAAATTCATAAAAGGCCTGTAGCAACAACCTTCCTCCTTTATGCTTCTCCCACTAATGTCTCTGTTTAGGCTTTCAAATCTCAGGTAGTATTTGTCATCAAAAATGTGATATCCTTTGATATGTAAAATACCAGCTTTGATATTCATGAACTTCAAATACTGTCTGAACACTGGTCTTTATCCTTGTGAGACTATCTTCCTCCTTTACAGTTTTAATATTTTCCACATGTTGTGTTTCAATCCCTTTTCCTTCAAATCAGCATCTGACTGATTGCTTGTATTTAATTACGGGATGATTTACTTCTATGTAAATAATGTCTGTGGAATGATTTGGGTCAAATAACTCCTGTGAATTACAGTCAGAATCTTTGTGATGTCCATTTGATAAGCTCCAAAGCATGATTTTATCTCCTCTTTGCCTCCAGCCCCTATGTTTTCACCTCACAGCAGCTCAGACAGATCCAAGAAGGTCTCCACTGTATTCCTCCAAGGGAAGGTCCAGGGGAACCCAGCATTCCTGTCCACCAAGTTATTTCCCTCGGGCCCTTGAAAAATGTGGATGTTGGCCACATGTTCATAGCCCTGCCCTTGCCTGTGTGATTCCTCCCATGTAAGAGGAGGGAAAGGTCACCAGCAGATGTGGTTTCATAGAATTAGTATCTGAAAACTGCCGAAAGCTCAGTCCTCTCTGACACTGGAGAAGAGAGGGATGCCTTCGCTCATCTGTCCCTTCCGCACTGGCACACGGATTTATGTAGTGGCACTACAGCACACTGTTTGCTTCCCTGTGTCGTGACACCTCTTTTTGGGCCACGTTTTGAAACTGGATGGATGAATAACCAACCCAAACGGTGAATGCCCAAAGCACATGGTCGTAAGGGCAGGGCAGCTGGAAGAGCTAGGGAAGGAGCAGTTGTGGGTGGCAACACGGAAGCACTGGCTCCACTTGCTTTCTATTGCAAAAGTCAGAGTATTGTTCCCACCAGACAACATGCAATGGTTGCAGTTTTTCCAACAATGTTGAACAGGAAGCGTGTGTTATAAAAGGCACCATGGCAACGCTGCTGGGGCTTTCAAACTCCCCAGTCTTTCTGCTTCATCCTTGCTGAGGTCAGTGTTCGGTAACAGTATCAGGGAAGAAAAAACAGCGCCGCTTGCTACTGTACAAAATCAAGCTGCTCTGAAAGCTGCTGAGAGCAAGCCTGCCCCTGCACTCCAACAGGTAAAAAAGAAAGGATGGTGCAGGATCAGGACTTTTGCATTACTCGACACATTAACCCATGAGTAGCCTTCTGACGAGTAGTTCCAAAGCAGTCTTTCAACCTTGTGATCCAACGGTGGAGACTTGCTGTCTAGCAAATAATTTATAGGCTTAGGAAAAGGCACAGAGAAAGTACCAAAAGCTTTTTGGTCTCAGTGTCCTGATGTTCTACTCACCACAGAGAGTAGCCCAGGAGCAGAGTGTTTCAGCTTGAAGTTTTCATCTGCAAAAGGACCCCTATATATACTGGCTACTCCAGTGCCGTCTCCCTGTGCGAGAGAGGTGCCCAGTCAGCATTTGCTACAGAACAATTCTATTTAAAAATTAAATATAAAATCCCCAAGCAAAAGGACGGGGTCAAACTCAGCCCCAAATGGATGCTGCACCGCCATTTATATACACCAGCAGCAAACACACCCAGTGTTTCATTTCTGAAGAGGAATGGCGACTGGTTTCTAACTACACAGCACATCGTTTGCCATCCCTATGTTGGCAGAAGCCCACGGAGATGGTAAGGACTAGGCACAAGCCTCCCAGAGTGAGATGGAGGCTACAGATTGCTTGGGATGGCCAGAGTGAGATGGAGGCTATAGATTGCTTGGTATGGACCCACCTGGGCTCGGCAGGGAAAAGGGAGGGGACACAGGAGTATGGGCTGGTGTGGCAAGGAAAGCAGACGTGGTTGTGTGGAGAAAGGCCGCTGCTGGGACGCTTACTTATTTCACCTTATTTTCTGTGACTTTACCAGAAAGAGGGAAGCGATCTCTCTGTTCAGCAACGACGGTTTCTACAACATGGAGTTTCTCGTTTTTGCTGTACTTTCTACCAAGTCAAGACATCTTGTGCTTGCTACAAGCCCTCGCACGCAGACCTCAAGACACAGATACTTTAAAGCAGCATGGTGCAGAGCAGCGGCAGACTGCAAGCTCTGGCTGCTCACAAGTTTCAACTCTGCAGAAGCCTGGTGCACGGTTCACGTTAAGACACCTGGCTTACGTGGCTTGTGGGACTGCTGAAAGGCCACCCTGCTCTTCGGTCCAGCATTGCAGAGACACTCCTGGAGGATCCCAAAAGGACCGAGCAGGGACCCTTCAACAGGATGGCCTGAAAGATGCTGCAGTGAGGAACTGTCCAGAAGACATGCTGCAGAAGCAACGCAAACAGGTACCTCTGGCACGGGTAGTTCCATTTACTATTCTGACAGTACTTTCCCTTTCTGTGCTCATTTTCCCTTTCTGCGTCACTTCAGCCCCACTTCTTTGGCCTTGCTGCAACCTGTCTCACTCCCTTTCCACTTAACACATACCTTCTTTTTTAGGCCAAACTTAACAGGAAAGTAAAATGCCAGTAACAGACTACATCCAGCTCCACACCTTTTGCTCTGCTTGCCTAACCCTTGCTCCTTTTCCTCCTAGTCTCTGTGGTTTACTTAAACTGTCTGTGTATACTGGAAGGTTTAGGTTAAAGAGAAAATACAAACCGAAATGTTTTCATGTTCTTTCAGAGAGTGGTTCCCTAGTGTTATTTTTTAGAATTTGTGCTGTAAAGTTTCTCCATTGTCCACAGGACAAGGCAGTATATTCCTTGATATGATGCTTTGTTACACCCTGCTGATGAAAGCAAGGAAAAACAGTAGTGAGTTTACTCAAAATACTAAGACTGAGGAAATTAAAATCCTAAGGGGAAAAAAAAAATGCCAAGACTAAGGAAATCAGAAATTTTTACCATGTCTTCCATTGAGATTTCAGAGTGCAAAGGCAGCCCTTCTTTTCTCTTCCTGCAGGCTGCCGTTGGACAAGGAATCCCTACATTTAAGGACAAACGACATACTCGCGGCGATGTGAAGATGACTCCATCAGGAACGCAGGTGCCCTGCAACCCCCTGGCGCTGCAGATTTTCCGGCTCTTTTGCAAGGGCAGTTCCAGCCCCAACGCCGGGCTCTCCCCAGCGCCTTCCCGAGCGGCCCCGACGCCGCTGGCCCAGGTCAGGCACTGCCTCCTTGAACCGAGATTACACCGCGCCTCACGCCGGCGGCGCGGCCGCCCCCCGGGGCCCGCTGGCCGCCCGCACCATGACCCCGGCGGCGGCTTTGCGGCGCTGTCACAAACGGCCCGTGACGCCG